TGGCGCTCGTGCATCCAAGCTATTGTCTTCAATGCATAGCTCCTTTTCCAACCCCCCTCACTTGACAGCCCACTGACAGTGCTGGATTTATGCACCAATTTACCAGCTCGCGCGTGCAATCCGCAGCTACCTACCCCCACCCCCAAATCATCGGTGAACGAAACTGCGGCAGCTACAACCAATGTGGGACGAGTACGCGGTTCTTACAGCTGACAATGATGATAATGATGATGATGATGATGAATTTTGTAGAAATTACTTCCAGCGTTTAAAACTAAAGTAATTATACTCAGTCTGACGAGCTGCGCACAACGCCATATCATGCCAATCTCCTGTTCAAAATGACATTCTCACAATCAGAGTGCGCTATTGTGAATGACCAGCGTAAAACAAGAACAGTTCCCTTGGTCTTACTTCTATTGTAAATTAATTAGGTGGGCTAAGAAATGATAAAACCGATGGATAAACCATCCACTATTTGAGTGAATACATTCCTTAACTGCAGAGCAAGATGGTTTGCTGTGAAACGTGTGATCAATTCCGGAATGTTATGCCTGCATCATATCGGCACCGCTTCCTAGGATTTAACATCGGTTTGCTGTCGTGTGATCAATTCCGGAATGTTATGCCTGCATCATATCGGCACCGCTTCCTAGGATTTAACATCATGAGGTAGCTTGTCTCTTTGTTTGAGGATTTCTGGCTGGTTCTTTGTAAACGCGCGTTAACAGTTGTTTGTGCTTTGGGATTCATACAAGTCTTTCGCTTGTGACAGATTGGGTTTGCCCAATCACTACAGCCCAGTATCAGTATTCAGTATTTAGTTTCGAACAAACTAACAAGATTACTTGCATACCCATATACATGTATGTCCCCCCAAAGCTAACTAGATAACAAAGTCACCAGTAAGAACCATGCTTTTGCATGAACTCAGGCTTTGGATTTTAATTCAGGCAACTATGTCCCCCTTTGATCCAAAGTATTTGGCCGTGTTTTGAGGAGGACATCACCCACTTATCCTTAGTATATAATGTTTGGTGGTGCTTCAGTCTCCGTGATCCAATCAATATTTATAACCTAGACGCGAGAAAAATCCCAAGTCTTGACTTGAGTAGGCCATTGTGGAGCTGATTGAACGATCCAGTTCGGTCTTACTTCAACTTTTGCGCACGAATGACTGGTATATTGACTATTTTAATGATTTTAATGACTACCTTAACGTAACAGCACTGACATATGGTCTAGCGAACAGTGATATTCTTATCCGGATTGGGAAGGCCCGAGTAGTTTTTGTGAACCTGCGCCAGCTGTGGTGTGAGTGTGGCATCAGCTTATCCGTCAAGCGTAGAGCTTACAAGGCTCCAATGCCATCCATATTGCTTTACGGATAAGAAACCTGGCCGCTGCATTCCTCCCTTCCCACACCCCCCCCCACTTAAAAGTCCACTGACCACTGGCAGACTGTATTTACGCACCAATTCATCAGTTCCCGCCTCCAATGCGCGGCTACCTAGCCCACCTCCTCACATCATCGGTAAACGGAACTGTGGCAGCTAACAACCACTGTACGACAAGTACGCAGTTCTTACAGGTGATAATGATAACGATAATCGAATTCTAGTTTTCTGAGGGCAGTGAGGTGATAAAAGTTTGGTGTGCTATCTAGAAAAAAGTGAATCATCGTTGCCCTCCTTAACGCTTTCAGATAAAAACCGCGCTGTTTTCACGTGGTGAATTCATATTATTATTGTTTAGATAGGGTGAAAATACCAAGAGTAATTTGATATTGTTTCAGAAAACAGCACCGAACAATAGATTTCGATAAGACTCACCAAAACTGCGTCAATGTACTCCAGTGTCTTGCGGTCCTGTTGTCTGGATTTGTGGGCTGCTTCTGAGTAGTCATCATAAACGCGTGCACGGACGTCACGCGCCAATTGACGAACTTGTTTGGTGTCTACCTCTTGAGCTGAAACCAGATGATAATGCGTTACAATGCACTTTTTAAGAGAAATTACACCAGTGATCCTAACCGCAAGTTCTTAGTTCATGTTCGAGACAATTGATAAGCTCTCCACGATAAGCCACATTAGTGCACTTTAATGATGAGACTAAGGGCGTGCTAACCTACACTGTACTAAGTGTACTCCCCTAGTTTTGAGGCTCTTTTCGATTCCGTGTATATATTCCACACCCTTTTGCTTGACCTTTGACTAACCATTTGCAGTCGATTTTCCTACTCTGATGGCTTCCAAGTAAAAGTCTGTCTTTGCTGTTTATATGCACAACAGTTAATGTGAACATTGATAGTGAATTTTTTCCCACTCAGTTTAATGCACGTTAATAATACTTTCAATAATTATGTGAAGATGTCAAGAGGTGAAACAAGTTTTTGGTCTGTAGAGTGTTCCAATCACACGTGAACCTAGACATAATAATTCAGCTGATTCAACGGTTCCCCGTTGCTTTGGCGCTTAACAGTTTGCGGTACCTCCGAGAGTCTGCTAAAAGTTGATACATTCTGTCTAACTTGGGACTGTCCACTGATGGGGAGGATTGCTATTCTAGTAATAACTACTGAACTTCGGAACCATTGCTGCACACAGCTACTGATTAACATCTAAAAAACAGAGAATAATGCGATGCTGTAATTTCCAAATATAGAAAGAGCAAACAAAAACACAGGGATGGATTCTAATCATGTTTCATCTGGTGAGAAACAGGCGCTTGCAACCCTCACCTCCATCAGGCTCTCGGAATACCCCCGGAATACCGTAAAATGCCACCAGCCAAAGACTTCATGGCTGCATAAAATAGTAAGCTTCAAAAACACATCACTTTTTAATGAATCCAATAGGCTGGCTAGAATAGTGGGATCCGGCAGCTAGCCCAAGTTACCACAAAGAAACCTTTTGCCATGTTTTGGGATGTCGTTAGAACCATGTGGTGTGTTTTTATGAGAAATTCTGTGTTATATTGGCTTCTCGTTTCATCCAAACGAGGCTATCGTACACTGATGTACGTAATAAACGAAACGATGGCTTTGTTTCGATATAATCCCACTTGTCAATTCAGGTTACCCCTTACTCCAGGGTAATCCGAATTTTTCAAAGCACCAAAGCTACTCAGCGCAGTGAATTATCATATTCTTCTTACCAAGTCAGCAGACTGAAAGCACTGGAGCAAATTTTGCAGGGATTCTTCACAAGTTATACTAAGGAGTATCAGTATTCATGTTCAAATCAAAGTTGCATTCGTGACAAAACAATGCGGGATCTCGCCTATTTTGTCTCGGCATTGGGACCGGAACCTGGACTTGATAGGTGAAACCAGATTTTACTTACGTGAAAAAACGTTCTACTTCTGTAAACCAAATGTGTTCTTTAATATTTCATCAAAAAACTTGACCAGGATATTGATGGTATACATGCGGGAGCTGCATTTATGGGGGAATGACAGCACCGAGTTGTGTAATTCAACACACATGGAAACTTCTAAGCAGGCTGTGTGAGAGATGCGTTTGTGGTAATAGATGGAAACATGCAATCACGGTTTATTTTTTAGTCGTTACTAAAGCAGTAGTGATGCTTTAATTAAAGGTCAAAAATTTCTATTTTTCAGACGTTCAAACCTGACGTGTCGAATGCGGGTCCTAATCCGACTCAAGTTGACCACCGCCAACTAGATTACGAACAATCCTCTCTTGTTAGATTCAAAAGAAAAGCAGCGTAGTCTATTTTTATCAGAGTCGGTATTGTAGAGCTTACCAGTCGTCACAAACGAACTACGTCGAATATAACACATTTGAGAAGGCCATAGAATAGAACGACATGCCAGTACGGTCACTGGCCACATTTCACATTCTCGCAGAGTCAGTCAGAATAATCAAACAAAATAACAGTTCCGTGGTAGATCGTGAAAGGTTGCTTCCCAGACTGTCCTATATAGAAACCGCTGATGCTGAGAGAAACCGAGTTAGACAAATCAGACCCTCAGCTTTCCCCTCTCGTGTCTTTCGGTTTTGGAGAAACAAACAAAAACAAATATATAGGAGGAAATACGGGGGATATTTGCTCTGATTTCGAATATTCTAGGAACAGAGTTCTCAAAACTGCCACTAGTCTTCATGGTGGCAGTGCATATCTACAACCCAGAGGAGTGTGCGGTTGTGGAATGTCAAAGAATAACCGCCTAAGTTGTTTTTCCGAAACGGTAGCTATTTGAAACAACAGAGATAAACTATTTGAACAATTTTAATCTGCGACCACCCTTTTTGTGCCACATTAGGTCCGATAAAGTTGCCGCAGTTCGTCTGCATGCCCATTCCTTCAACTAGTATGACCCCGGACATGGTCTGCTACCTTGTTCATTATTTCACCTATATACATGTGCCTCAAATCGTCTACAAAACTCAATGCTAGAAACCGCCATTATTATTCTTAGAGGGACTCTACTCGTCAGGTCGCTAAAAACATCTCGACAGACTGCGAGATAGTTAGCTGAGATTCGGTGAAAACGAATTTAGTACATAGGTGAGTGTATTCTGCATAAGCAATCTTCTCGGAAGGAAAATATTCACAATCAGCCTACGTAGGACATGGTCACTCGAGGGGACCGTCAACATCGAATCATGTGACACGAATAAGGTCACGAAGGATGATGGTATTATTTGTTATTCACTTGCAAAGTTGAATTTTACCAGTGTAACTTGCCAAACTATTCGCATTCTCTGTTGGACTGATGTAAATCACTTCCTAGATTCCTTTCTATTAACCTGAGTTTACCAGTAATATTACTAATGGTTCCGAATGGATATATATCAATAATGGGTGCTCCGAACAAATTACTCAGTACCCTGGGAACTAACGTGTACAATAAACTTACTATTGATTCTGCTAGTTGAGGAGATTATCCAACTCACCTGATCATTGTGACTGGTCAACTAGTCGTGTTTTGAAAAAATAATGTTTCAAGAAAAGGAAAATGCTCTACTCTCAGGCAGTAAACCTTGAAGTAAGTTCATTATACAGCGAAATTAAATGTAAAGCCATTTAAACCATGATTGTAAGAATTGCAGGCTCACCAAATCTGTTGGAGTAATTTAAGTAATTGAAGTGATTTGCAATATCAAGTTTTCGTTGCAGAAGAGTGCAGCTATTTTTCATATAATTCAATTATGGAGGCAAGAAATCTTCGAAAAAATTAGCTACAAAGTAGGACTTCACTGAGGTAGTCTAACCTCTTTTCGCCGGCTCACTGTCAAGCTAAGGACCCCGTGCACTGCCCTAAAGCTCGTGAGCTGTCCAGCCTTTGACCTGGAGCTGTGTCCAAAATAACATTTTGCGATAATCCGAGTGTCAATGATCTCACAAGGCAATGAATGTTAGCTTACGTTTATCCAGCTCACATCGGTTTCATCTACCATCATCTACGTAACATGTGCAGTTCATAATTATTTTCTTCGGCATCCCCTACCTAAGTGTGGTTATATGGCCACCAAAATACTCGTGCAAATCGACAAGGGTTACTGGAGATGATGTCCGCAATGAAGACATAACACGCTGGTATACGAGTATGACTCAACTATAGAGGCCTCAGGGTATTCAGTATCGGGGTAGATTACTCCATTTGAAGTGTAAACATCCAAGAGGAAGGTTGTTGAAATTATCCACAGCCGGCTTGGTCAAGCAGTGACATACAATAGTCATTTGCCCACCTCAGGGAGGCTTGAAAACTATATGACGACTGAGAACGTCCTTCGTTTTGCAAAATAAGCGGATATATTTTGGGTGCAAAAATACACAAAAACCAACATTATGATATGCCTGTTTTATCTACATGTCGCTTAGGAATAACAGTTTACCGGAGTTAAAACGGGCAGTCAACAATACCGAGGTTTTCAAACTCACGTTCATCGAAAATTTGTTGTCTCGCCTTTTGTCGCACCCTTCGTGCTTCATCGTTTCTTCTCCGAAATTCAATTACTTCATCATCCGATGAATAATCGTAATAATCATGTGTCATTCTCGAAATCAGCAGAGGATGCGGACAGCCTACACTATCAAGTATTCGCGTGGATAGACCAAGCGTCAGACTATATATCATTATCCCATTGAAAATCGATATATTGTATCGTCAGACCACTGGTCTGTGCCGATTCGTGTTGACCCCATTGGTGGAAAGTAGTGTGTGTTTGTGCGTATCACAACCGATGGACGCACAGTGCCGGGTAGGAACTGCAAAATGGGGCCTTGCGCTGTGCGAGGATTACAAATTGGGAAGAACATATCCAGCGATAAACTTAGTTGTAAAAAAGACTGTTTTTGCTGGCTAGAGCTAAGAACCATTGGTGTGAGTTTGTTTCAGAATAGATCTTTTACTGTGAACCTGGGCAGAAAAATGTACTGGTGTGAAGCTTACCTATGTACGCGTACTTGTTTATTAGCAATGAACTGAGATATTTCCCACATACACACATAGTTTCAGGAAGCTTACCAGCGGTTAGGGGACGCCTATCATAAATTCCTGCAAGGCGTAAACGAGAAAAGCTATGTTCCCTTGATTTTGTCGCGGAAGAATTAGTTCAGGTACTCTCGAATGCATAGCTCCAGGAAGGCATGGACACCAGGGGATGAAGAATTCTTGGCCCAACTGCAGAAGGAAGCATAGCTATATAGCATAGCTGTATCAAGATGAATGATCAAATTAGGATTGGATAATTATACTGAGGAAGCGAATATTAAGTTTACTTAGTACCAGCACCCAGGGATGAACTGAAACTGTCACCCTTCCGCTCCCCAGACATTTGCTGTAGTAGCTGAGCTCCGAACACACGGGTTTCAAGTCATACCGTTCAACTATAATCTACAAATAAATCCATAACTTTTCAAAAGCCAACACACTTTGAATGAGAAAAGTTTCGACAGATGCGCCTCGGTGACGATTCCTAGTGGAGCTGAAACAGATACACAGCGATTTCCCGCTGCAGGACTAGAGCTCTATTAGAAAATGCATACTAAGTGAGATCATTCGAATACACTATCATCCCAAAGTTTGAGCCATCGTCTGCAAGAAAGTTGCTTTATCGTGATTTCTGTCCAAAGAGGACCCAATTTACTAGAATGTTAGTCATGGAGGAAACAGACATTTTACAGATGCCCAACTTGGTAACGTGGTTTCCAGAAGTCAGCCTAGTGGATTGCTTAAACAGGATCCTTTTACCGCTTATGACATAAGTCCGTTCAGTTGCATTTCAAGAGAATACCCTCGCAATGTAGGTCGACAACAGTTTAAAATATTAGTTCAATATGTCGAAGCGTTTAAAAGTCGATTAGGCTATCAGTCAATCAGCCAAATCCCATCATGATCGATAGGTAAACATCCTCATTCCACAAAACACTCAGTTTACTTTAATCAGACTTTCACGCTACTAGCATACAACCAAATGCCAGAAATCAGTGTGACAGCGCTAATGAAGGTGGACGATTGGCCTTGTTTGTGCAAAATCTACTGGGTGGCAACATCTGTCCACCGTCAAGCTGACTTCTGACTATAATGTCTCTAACTATTCATGATTTATGCTGATGGTTTAAAGGGTTTAGAACTTAATAACTCATCGGCTACATTACCCCATGTATATTACACAGTGAATTAAAGGACCGAGTGTTCTTAAGTAACCGAAACAGAACAGCTGTCAAGACTAGCTGGCGTTGTCAGTCGGTGATATGCGGCGATTTTTGTTGTCTAAAAAGACTATTGTGCCTGCGCTTAGGACACCGAAACAATAAAGTTGTATAATTAAGCGGCGAGAACAGTATATCTCCTAGACTTTGAAGAAAAATGTGACTTTTCCATTGTTGTTATATTCAAGAAGTAGCACATGTAGAAATATGGCCGCTTTGATTATTAGTACCACTGTAAATTCCTGGCAGTTAATAAAGTAGTTTTTTGATTCCCAGTTCTGTGTAACCTAACTGGTTCATTTTCATAGTCGCATTACATCACCCTTTAATACGGCAGATTGAAGAGCTGGTTCAACGTTGCCTATATCTGGCTGTCAGAATCTGATCCAAATGGCAGCTCTACCCGTCTCGTTCAACCTAACCGAACATCTTTAGCTCGCACGAAGCCAATTTCATCAACCAGCCTTGAAAGATAAAACCTGGATATAGGTTACATATTGTTTAGCATAACCGAGGGGTTAAGACCCATTCACTTGAATATCTCTGCAAAATTAACTTGGTGCGCGAATGTGAGTATTCAGCAAATAAAATTTTCCTAAGATAGTTAATTTTGCCGTGGTTTCTGGGTGTCGTAGTTGGTTGAGACACAGCTGTTGGTGAATTGTTCCAAAGTCTCCAACTCGAGGCGACAGTAAAACAAGATTTTAGTGGTATATGACCAAAATCTGTTGATGACGCACCCATTTAACAATATTGTACTTTGAAACAAGTCTTCTTAGCCCGTCATTGTGCATTGTTGTTTCACAAGGTATTTGTATTGATTGCGCGCAATATTGCAATTTTTAACCATCCACAAACTAGGACACTTATTCGTAATGTACTACTCCTAAGGTTGCTGAAAATTCTTCGACAAGCAAGGACCGGTTTTGCCCTTCTTGGAGCTAAGTAAACAGTCCCCCAGTTTTCGTCAAACTTGTGTTATATTTGAAACCAAACTGCGCATCACAGACGAAAGATACGGTCGGGTTTCAGGTGAGCCTCTCGCAAAAACCAAATTCGTTTACAAAACAGTCTGTTTCGCTAACACCCTCTTGTTTCCGTGCGATTCTGGTAAAAAAATACACGTAAACTGGGAGCACTTGTAATACTATATGGTAAATTGCCTTAAGAGGAGTTAACTTTATCTTGTCTCTTATAATTGCCGATCACTTTTGCACTGAATGGACTTGTTCAAGAGAAGTTATTATAACTCGGTCTATAATCCATACAAATTACAATAAAAGCCTCTCAATGGTGGAAGAGCCAAGCTCTCCGGACGCATAGATCCAGCATCTGATCCTACTTTAAAAACGCAAAAACCTTTTTGATTCATCTGACTTTTATCTGAGAGCATTTGATTTTTTTACAAAAATGCTTGGAACAAAATTTTCGTTTGTGACGCTCTCCGATGGGACTGAATGGACTGAATGGCCTGCTTGGTCTTTCTTGTTGGCAGCTTGTCACAATAATACCAGCAACCAGTTTTTCTTTTTAACCTGTAATTCGAGAAACTAACTCGCTGTCACACTTTCTTGTTTGCCGTGTGCGGAGTATCAGGTGGCATGATATCGGTTACTTCATTCCCCGGGGCACCGTAAATATCCGGGGTGAAATGTTTTCCTGTAACTTTTGCCACTAACTAGCCTGAAACATTGAGGTCAATTGATTCTATCCTTGTAGGAAAGACACGTACTTGCGTCATCTTGGTCATTCTGATGACTCAGCCGTATAATGTATAGCCCACTCTGTGATGATGCTTACGTCACGTTGAGCACAAGTGACTTTTCATGGTACAGCAGTCCCGTTATTAAGGCCCCCGTATTCATGGCAGTTTTTAAAGCTGATACAAAATTTTGAACTCTCATATTTGGACGTCCCCCAGCAAGCACAACCTTTCCGAAAACTACCGTAGCGCTGTGTTGCATATTTAGAAGAATGTTATCCGACAGGTGAATATTTGCTCTTACAATGTGCTTGCCCAAAAACCCAGAAATTGAAAACCTTGTATTTCATACATCGTCACAGCACAACGTCTTAAAAATCGATCTACACACCATCAAGCTTTTGGGGTAGAGATAATCAACTTTAGGTGGAATACAGTTTTGACGGTCGAATAGCCAAAACAAATGTTGCATTTTTGTGCGCCGCAGGAGGAAACAGGAACTGTGCTATCGATCGACGAAGCCATCGAACATGGTTTTGGAGGTGTAAAATAAGCTTGTGTGGGAAAGTTAAACAGCATTTGTCGTGTTGATGCGTCAATATTTTCTTTTCAGCATAGGGCACGCTACTGAATTTCAGGATTTCACGACAATCTAGTTATTCGAACTAGTGACAATGGGAGTAGTTTCAATGATAATAATAACGATTGACTTATAATTGAGATGGACCTTTGAGACAAATATGATTGAACCGCCGGACGCTGTCACACTCTTGTCGAGCCCGTGATACCTGTGCTGCCTCAGGCCAAGTTATTGTTTGGATAATACTTAACAGGCTTTAGCTGAATACAATTTAGGATAGCGTAGTTAAACTGATTATTTTAGTAGTAATGGAAGCACAATACAAAGAGGATATCGACTCCATAGCTGCTTTAATGAAACTGAATATAATATCTTAGTGTTTTGATATACAGATTACTAATAATCACTCCATAGGAAAGTCTCTTTGTATGTGTAAATTGAAAGTCGTATTTCCAAAGAGCAAAAGGCTTAAAGAGAATCGTTGTGAAAATAGTAACAAGATAAAATTTGCAACGAAGGAATGCAAAAATCAAACGTGGTAGTGCTGGTAAACGCAGTGGTACCTTGATACTATCCGCATGATTCAGGCTACCCCGGCTTTGTCATTCTCGAAGTATGTTAATTAGCCATAGAAGACCTAGTTGTTATTTTCTTCTTAATTCAACAGAACAATCTTTGTTTCACTTGGGCACTACTCGAAATAACAAACCCTGGTACTCCCTCTACATGACATTGTTCTTTGTATCGAGGCGACGGAAGTTCTCCCTGCATTCAGCCTGCTTTTCCAGACTCAACCTCGTGAGTCACCGAGAAAAACAGCCTTCCTTCAAATTTGAGTACGGACAGATAGTAAGGATTTTCGCTACAGTTAACGCTACAAAAATTAGTGCTGTGTCAAAAAATATAGGCTACTATCATGCATGAGCTAATAAATGACATACGGGGCAACCTATAAGCAGCTCGTTCAGACGGACAACATTTTAGATGACAGATTCAGACCGATTACAGCCACGTTGATTTGCGAATTAATGTTTACCATCAAAATAGGATCTGTTTTATCTGTGTCCGCTTGAACTCATTTTGCAGTTGCCCA